AAGACATTTCCACTAAAGTCAGGAATAAGGCAAAGATGATTACTATCCCCATTACTATATTGTGCTGGAAGTATTAGCCAATGTAATGTAGCCTGGGTTCTTTATCATACCTCTGATATCTTCCCCTAAATTCCCTTCTGTTTAATCTAGTCAGAGTTGGTATCTATGGCTAGCACCAAATAATATAACTTCTTTATCCTTTCAGTATTTCCACATTTTCTATGATAACAATGCATCACTTTAATAGAGGGAAAATTTTTAAATAGGAAAAACACCACTAAACCATCCCCCAATCACTCTCCTCTCAGCGGTTTTAAGCAACGGTTGAGTTAAAAAATAAATTCGGCTTCTGCATTTGTAGGTTCTAAAAATAATAAATATCATCTTTATGTAATGAAATGTCATTATTTTTTAAAATAAATTTTACTGCATGGTAACTACAAATATTTATAATGGAAAAATCAATAAATCACACCACTGATGGAAAATTAGTGAAGCCCTGGAAGTCATATATGAGGTTTTATTGAAGCTGCATAGTTTTTTTAAAAAGCAAATATATTGACTAGTTGCTCTGGAAAATTGCCTACAAGGTATACTTTCCAATGACCTTGGCCCTAAACAGCCAAGAAAGATGTTATTTCTGCAACTCCTGATTAGAAATGGTTTCATGTCCAGATCCATAAAAATTTGTGGGAATTAATTATATTCCATGAAATAAAACTATAAAATATTTTATTGCATAAATTAAGTTTTTTACCCAACCTCCTGAAATTTCCTGTTGTAGATACAGAAATTGTCAAATGCAGATTTTCTTTATGAATAGGATAAAAATTTATGTAGTTTTGTTGCAAGATAGTTTTTTTAATTTTATTTTATTATGTTATATTAGTCACCATACATTACATCATTAGTTTCTGATGTAGTGATTCATTCTTTGTGAATAACACCCAGTGCTCCATTCAATAGGTGCCCTCCTTAATACCCATCAACGGGCTAACACATCCCGCCACCCCCTCCCCTCTAAAACCCTGTTTGTTTCTCAGAGTCCATAGTCTCTCATGGTTCATCTCCCCCTCCAATTTCCCCCCCTTCATTTTTCCCTTCCTACTATCTTTTTTTTTTTTTTTAACATACAATGTATTATTTGTTTCAGAGGTACATGTCTGTGATTCATCAGTCTTACACAACTCACAGCGCTCACCAGCAAGATAGTTTTAAGAAGAGCTTCCTCAGCGTTCATTTGAAAAGAATTGCTTATTTCAACTTCCATTTCTTTGTATCATTTTATTTGTGTGAAGTCTGGTACGTCATATCCTTTGTAAAGTTTGGTTTTTCTGTGAGGACAGACTGAAAGGTGAGTGGGGGTAATAGTGCCCATCACCAGAGAACATACTTGTTAGAAGATTGGATGATGGGCCTTGCAAGGGCCGGACCAACTTAAGAAGCTAGCCTTGGGGGGCGCCTGGGTGGCTCAGTTGGTTAAGTGACTGCCATGATCCTGGAGTCCCGGGATCGAGTCCCGCATTGGGCTCCCTGCTTGGCAGGGAGTCTGCTTCTCCCTCTGACCCTCCTCCCTCTCCTGCTCTCTGTCTCTCATTCTCTCTCTCTCAAATAAATACATAAAATCTTAAAAAAAAAAAAAGAAGCTAGCCTTGGCCTCATACACCCGTGTTGTTACCACCTTCCTTGCTGTCACCACTGCTAAGGAAAAATGCTCTCTCTTGCTTCTCCGTTTAGGATTTACTCATACTGTCACTTTCAGGGACAAGTGCACTGAGCACAGTAAGTAAATAAATGTATTGTTTTATTTACAAAATGCCTCCCAGTGTCATTTTGGGAGCAGGGCAATACAAGTGAGACAGACAGGACTTGGCTTGTGACCTGTTGTAAGTTGTCTGTAGTTTATTTTTAAATAACTCAGCATAAACAACGTGGCTATATGCAGAAGTTCAAAGGTGGTTCACACCAAGGGTAGTCCTTACTCATAAAAATATTAATGGGAAAGGTGAAGGCCCACAAGAACCAAAAAATGCGAAGACAACAAAATATGGCTTATTAAAGGATGTTCAGAGAAAGAAAATCAAAGGACACTGGGAAAGTAGAACTCTCAACTATTTTGTGTATTTTGTTTCTAATTTCTCCATCAGTGACTAGTCTTTGATACCTAAGCCTGATTATGATATGACCAAAAAAATTACAAACCAAAATCACTTAACAAATACCAATGCAAAAATCCTAAATATAGTGAATAACATCCAGTAATACACTAAGAAAATAATGTATTATGACCAAGTGGGACTTATAGAAAGTATGAAAGTATGGTTTAATATTAGGAAATATTAATATAATTCACCATATTAATATGTCTAGTTGCTGAAAAGCACTAACAAAATTCAACACTTATTCCTAATTTAAAACTCCTGAGAAAATAGAAGCGGATGGATACTTTCTTTTTTTTTTAAAGATTTTATTTATTTATTCATGAGAGACAGAAAGAGAGAGAGAGGCAGAGGGAGAAGCAGGCTCCCAAGGACCAGGGAGCCTGATGTGGGACTCGATCCCAGGACCCTGGGATCATGACCTGAGCCGAAGGCAGACGCTTAACCATCTGAGCCACCCAGGTGCCCCCGGATGGATACTTTCTTTCTTCTTTTTTTTCTTTAAAGATTTTACTTATTTATTTGAGAGAGAGAGAGCACAAGCAGGAGGAGCGACGGAGAGGGAGAAGCAGACTTCCCACTGAGTGGGGAGCCCGACATGTGACTCGATCCCAGGACCCTGAGACCATGACCTGAGCCGAAGGCAGACACTTAATGGACTGAACCACCCAGGTGCCCCCAGGTCAAAGAGAGCCAACCTGAAGCTGGCCAAATCTGATGATTTGAGGATCAAAATAAGGATGGGGAAGAACAGAACAATATCCCATGTGGAAGAATTCCAAATAAATTATACAAGTAAGGGAGGGGGAGATTAACAACCAGAAATGTGCACTGTGCACAGTGACTTCCTTCCAAGGGGTACAGTATGGAAAGGGGGAAAAACTACAATGGAGAACTCTGACAAACTGCTTTAGCCAGGTGACCAAGTTTAACATAAACAATCATAAATTATGTTGGTAGTATGTACCCCTGCTATGATGTGATGAAACTGACACTTTAACTTTACCTCTGTGATCTTCCCCTCAAAAACCTATAACCCCAGTCTAATCATAGGAAAACACCAGATAAATTCCAGTAGAAGGGCATCCGACAAGATACCTCACCAGTTTTCCCCCAAATTGTCAAGGTCATCAAAAGCAAGCATAGTCTGAGAAACTGTCACAGCCAAGAAGAGCCTAAAGAGAAATGCCAACTACATGTAATATGGTATCCTGGAAGGGATATTGGAACAGAAAGGGGATTACGTAAAAATTAAAGAAATAACTATGGACTTAATTCATGTGAATGTATCAATATTTGGTTCACTAATTATAACAATGTATCATAATAATAAGAGGTTAATAATAAGGGAAACGTGGGTGGGTGTGGTACATGGGAACTGGGTACTTCATCTACTCAATTTTTCTGTAAATCTAAAACTGTCCTCAAAATAGTCTAATATAACTAACTAAATAAATAATAAAAGACAGTAATGGATTTTTTTATGGACTTCTTGAACAAAAAGGAAAACATAAATCCATGCTGATAGTAAATAAGGAGAGCTCTTCTTTATAGTAGCATCATCAGAAATAAATGTGGAGTCCTTGAAGGAATTAGGTGGGGGGAAAAAGCTAGTTTGTAAACATCATTGTAAAGATCGGTTGCAGCAAGATCATCCAAGGGAGGTTGAACCACAAGGTAGAGTTTGATTTAGGAGCAAGGTATTTGCTTGGTCTCAAAGTAGCTTTTCATAGATTATTAGTTGCAAGGGATAAAATAAACAGTGGAGAACCTGGAAAACACCTTGATACGGTGATAAAGATTAATATCATCTTATAATGGACATACATCCTGAACCTCCAAATATAATACCTTGAGAAAGACACAACTTCACTTCCGTGGTTGTTTCCACCGAGGATGCATAACTTGGATCTAACCACGAGGAAACATCAAAGGTTGATGTGGGAATTTGTATTTGAGAAGAGTCTCTCTGTAAGGGGATGAATTGCTTTGGTCATAAGCCTAAGCCCTCTTGGTCATAAAGCTGTTAAATAATCAAATGCAAATATTCCAGACTGTGATTTTAACTGTTATATTTATAAATTAGAAACCACCACAACAGAAAGATTTATTCCAATACGAAGACATTAGCAGTTTACTTGTAGTGGCAGGAAAGAATGCAGGGGAGGGAGCGGGCATGGAGAGTGTGGGGAGGTGGTGGGAAGAGATGGGATTCTGAGCTGAGGATTGCCAAATTGTTCTTCTTTTTTTTTTTTTTTTACCTGCTGCTGTTCTCAGTGCTTGTCAGAAATTGACTCTTTAAGTGGGAACGCTCAGTAATTGGTCTTTGTTTCTCAAAACAAAACACAACACAGTTACGATACGAAATAACTTTCTCGTAAGTACTCAAGGCTCTGCTGCAGTGATTGTTTACACGGATAGAAGAACGTGAGCCTGAAATTACCGAGTGGTTTTTCAGAGAAACGCCAGCAACCCTACTTGGTGATACCAAATGTGGAGACCCCTTTGAAAAGCCTGATTCTTTGTATCCTAGAAAGTCTTAAAAGCATGCACTGCGAGCGGCCTATGTATCTGGGCGCCAGGCACTCACGTTCTCTTTTCCTTTACGGATGAATTCCAGAGCGGGTCGCTGCTTTTTTTAGCCAAAGTTGACAGTTCTAAATAACTTCCCAGCTCCAAATCTAGGAACTAGTTAGGGTTTACGTTGGTTATCGCTTCTGCGTATATCACGCAATGGATTCTGGGAGACCCAGTCTCCGAGGACTGAGGTTAACAGGCCCAGCGTGAACGCTGGACTTCAGTTCCCACAATGCCGAGCGCAAATCTGTAATTTCTGCCGGGGTAAGCGCGAGGTGGCAGCCATCTTGCGTACGGCGGTGCAGTTTCCTAGATGCTGAGGGTTTGGGTGTTAGTTTCTCTGTGCTTTGGGGTGTGTTTTTGCGCTTTGCTTTCACATTTTCAGATGTTCGTATCTTTCTAGACCACGATTTTATTGGGAGGTAAAAGTCAATGTAGTGTAAGGTGAGTAAACACCCTATTTTAAGTAAGGGTGGGGTAATGGTGGTGACGTTTTTCGGGTTTTTTGGCTTCTCGTCTGCTCTTGGCTGGAACCTTTTGATTAGCCGTAAACGTGGAAGCCCGGGGTGAACCTTTGAGGCTAGGATATCTCTTGAATTCCTAGAGAGAACCTGAACATGTCTTCGTTGGGAGAAAGAAACTGGGTGACGCACTTTTGCCCGGGCCACCTTCTTTGGAGGTCAGAAGGCCAGGGGACTCAGGTTGTGTATAGGCCACGCTCTGTTAATGCAACCGTCTTGCTGTTCCTTGAGACTTTTATGGTATTTCGAATGAGCTGGGAAGTGGTCGGGGGGGGGGGGGCGGTGGTGGGGGGATGGGAGGGGCGTTTCCGATAGGACCGCGTTCTTTACAGTTGTTTTTTTTTTTTTTTTTTTTTTTTCCAGTTTCTTTGGGCCTACTTGTATCGTTGTCTAGTTCGTCTTTTTTGGCTTTTTCTTGTTCTGCCCTGTTGGAGGAATACCAGAGAGCGGGCAGAATGAAGTATTGAGTAAAACAGCGTTTGGGATTGCACTTTTGAGGGCCCCTAAGAAATTTCAAGGGAAGGAGAATTTATCTTCCAGATTGACCAGGCATGTGGAAAAGATGAACGCATTGATTTGGGGAGTTGCCAGATTTAAATATAAATTATATATATCATTAGGTGACGCACTTTTGCCCGGGCCATCTTCTTTGGAGGTCAGAAGGCCAGGGGACTCAGGTGATACATGAAATGTTTGATATATTTGAGTCATTTTTAGTGCAACTGAAGTTATTTTTTTTTTCTTTTAAATTAATGCTGTACACCCATTTGGAAACCACTCATTATTCACAGGAAGAGGGTCTGTAAAGTTAGGCATTTGAGTATCTAACGTTTGATTGCTGAGGAGATGCTGAGGTTTGGGAGCTGGATCCATTTACTCCGAAGGATATAGTGGTTTTAAACAATAAGAGTTTATGAAGACATTTATCAAAACCAGTTTGGATAGGTGTCAGTTTGGCTGGCAGATTTACTCTCCATCTTAGTACACAGTTGTGTATATCATCAAAATATATTTTTGATTCAATTTTCCAAACTTACTTAAATTCTTCAAGTTTTTAAGTTCAGAAATGTATTTAGGGATGCCTGGGTGGCTCAGTCCTTTAAGCATCTGCGTTGGGCTCAGGTCCTGATCAGGTCCTGGGGTTGAGTCCTGCATGGGCTCCTTGCTCAGAAGGGAGCCTGCTTCTCCTTCTACCTGCCGCTCCCCCTCCTTGTGCTCTCTCTCTGTGACAAATAAAATCTATAAAAAAATGCATCATTTGGATTAAATGTGAGATATATCTTTTTTAAGAAAAAGATACCTTCAGTGAGGCCCCTCCCTAAATCATTATAACAATACTTAAATAGTAAGTGGTTCTAAAATTACAATTTTGTAGTTTTTGTATTTTGGGAAAATTTACCATTTAAATGTCTTTTCTGTTTTCTTGTTTCTGAAAAACTTTTGTTTAGATTTTTAAAATATTAGTTATTAATTACATGATTTATTTGCTCCTCAGATGCCTTATGGTGAAATTGAAGCGAAATCCTTGGATCATGGTGAAGAACTAACAGGTGAACCATGCTATAAAAAACTGAAGTCAACTGAAGAGGCTTATGTTTTCTCCCATCATGGTAGTGCTAATTTTCACAGAATCCAAGAGAAAACTGGGAATGATTGGGTCCCTGTGACCATTGTTGATGTCAGAGGGCATAGTTATCCTCAGGAGGACACCACCAAAACTACAGACTTGGTGAAACCTGTGCATGATGAGATTCCTGGTAATAGTAGATCACATGTTATTGAATCCATTGATCCACAAGTTTTACAGGATGCAAGTCCTGCATTGGTATCCAAAGATGATGAGATATATAGCACAAGTAAAGCATTTATAGGACCCATTTACAAACCTCCTGAGAAGAAGAAATGTAATGAAAGGGGAAATCACTCAGATGCAATCAGTGGTACAGATGGCAAAGGAGGACAAGAACAGAAACAGAAATTCAACTCCAAAAAATCAGAGCTTGACAGCGAATTATTCCAGTTTTACAAGGAAATTGAAGAGCTTGAAAATGAAAAAGATGATTTGGAAGGCAGTTGTAAAGAACCCAAACCCTCTGAGGAAAAACTTATTACGCATTATCAGGACCATTATAATGAGCTGTTAAAATCTGAAGAAGGAAAGGAAAGAGATACTAGTAATGTTCTTCAGTCACATTGTGGTTTTCAGCAACAGGTGGAGAATGAACCAGGCAAATATCCTTGTAATGGACAAGTAATACCTGCATTTTGTGAAGATTCGTTAATTTCCTTCAGGCCTGAATGGCAGTCAGTGCATTATTTTATAGTACCCCAAGGTCCTCCTCCTCCCAGTTTTAACTGTCATTTAAATATGCAAAGATTTAGTGCTCCACTAAATCCACCATCAAATATTTTCCATGCTCCAGATGGGTCTCAGCATCAAAATGGGTATTATGTAAATAGTTGTCACATTAACTGGCATTGTTTGACTTTTGATCAGAACAATGACTATATTGACTGTAGTGAGAATACCAATAGAGATCATTCCTCTACAAATGGTTACAGTGTGCAAGATGCATATGTGAGTAATGGTTTCTGTGAAACCAGGGAAGGATGCTGGAAAGATCCTTCTATGGACAAGCATAATGGAACAGACAGGCTTATGAACCAGCAGTTTCAAGATGAAAAGTTAAATAAATTGCAGAAGTTACTTATTCTTTTAAGAGGTTTGCCTGGTTCTGGGAAAACAACGTTGTCTCGGTGAGTAAAGGATACCAAGTAAATGCTTGGTAATTCATTACTTAAAAATCATGGATGATAGTAGTTCTCAATGACCAATGCTTTCATGTTTCTAATAGAAAATCTTTAATTTGTTACACTTGAGAATGACATCTGACAGTGTAAATATTTAAAAAGATGTTTTCTGATGGAGGAAAGGAGAATTGACATATAAAGATTCTGCTAAGGGTTTTAAAAATAGATACACTGTGTATAATTATGACAGTGATGTAAGTAAATGCTATTTGAGAACTGTACTCGCCTTCCTTTTTAAGTCAGCTCTCCAAGCAGAGCTGGACTTAGGGTTGGAAGATTTGGGCTTTTGACCAAGTTATTTCAAACTTAATGGCCTTGGACAGGTTTTGCTATCTGTTAATAGAAAGGGTAATACTTATTTTTCTGGAATAATTGTGAGAAGCAAATGAGATAAACCAAGGAAAAGGAGCTGTGAGTTTGTTTTCAGCACTGTGCAGGTTCATATCTTTGATTGGCAGAGGGAACTCTTTTTTTGTTTAAGTTTCAGGAGTCTGAAGTGAGCAATACCTGAGTTAAATAGAGTTAGAACTGGTTATGTTTTATTGTTATTGTATGACAGAATGTTTCAAATTCCTATTTTTGTTTGCATTTTAAAAAAGAATATTGATGCACTGGAATTCATTTGTGCAGTTGTGAAAAATAGTACAAAGAAAAACAATACAAATTCTTGGCAGTTTTTGTAGGATGATTCAGGATTTATGACTGATCAAGCGAAAAAGGAAATTGTTTGATGTCTTCCAGCAAGGATAAAATCCAAAGAACCATTATGTAAATGTTTTATATTTACTTGCAAAACAGTCTGAACAGAAGTTTCTTCAGAAGCAGTAAATTAAAGAAAGATTAAATTTATGATACATTTCAAGCTAGCCTGTAAGCTGTGATCTTTGTAAATGAATTTGAATTTTGCATTTTGCATTTTTATTCTTATTTATTTATTTATTTATTGGGACGCCTGGGTGGCTCAGTCGGTTAAGCGTCTGCCTTCAGCTCAGGTCATGATCCCAGGGTCCTGGAATCGAGTCCCGCTTCGGGCTCCTTGCTCAGTGGGGAGCCTGCTTCTCCCTCTACCTGCCGCCCCCCCGCTTGTGTGTGCTTTCTCGCTCTCTTTGACAAATAAGTAAATAAAATCTTAAAAAAAAAAAAAAAAGACTTTTTTTATTTAGTTAGAGAAAGAGATCGAGAGAGCACGAGGAGAAGGAGAGGGAGAAGCAGACCCCGCTGAGCAGGGAGCCAGACAAGGGGGTGGGAGCGCTGGATCATGACCTGAGTTGAAGGCAGACGCTTAACCAACCAATCCGCTCAGGAGCCCCTATTCTTATATTAATGAAGATTTTGTAGAGAAGGTGAAATTTCAACTCTTTAGAAAGGATAGAAATTAAGAATGAAGTGTCACAAACACGGGCAGTCTTTTAGATTTAGAATGTAATATCAGAGGAAAGAAATAGTTGAAATTTGGAAATTGTGTGAAGGAATCTCCTAGCTAGGGTCACTTGACTATGCGTTGGTATAGAATAAATGTAAGAAAGAAGGATTAGATTTGGAACAACATTGGGGTATGAATGAATAAAGTAGTGGTATTGCAATAGAATTTCAAGGAGGTATAATTGTAGTGGGAGATGATAGAGGTGATATATATAATACATATATTTGAGGAATCAGATGTATGTTGTAAGAAAAGAATAGTAGTAACTACCATTTGTGTCATGATTTCAGTTTACAGAGTACTTTCATATATAAAAATCTTGTAAAATGGGTTGTGTTATTTTCATTTCATAGAAGGAGCAGAGGCTTAAGAGAGTAAGTTTGGGTTAAAGGGCTTGGGAGAAGTTGTAAGAACTGGTAGGAGGTCAAACTAGAGATATAAATGATAGCGTGTTTCTTCCCTGCTCCTTCACTTTAGTATCTGTTGCATGCATGGTCCTATAACTGTCTCCTGGCTTTCAGGAGCTTGTTTAAAGAATCAAGAGTAGCTGTTTAGGTCACCACATTTTGAATGAAGTAAGATTGGTTGGTTGGGACTGGATAGAAAGCCAGATATTCTGTGGTGGGGGAATGGCTTTACGTAGGAGTTAGCTTTAGAAAGAAAGGAGTGAAGATTTGGTAGATCAAAGTTGGGTTGATTTGGGGCACTAAATTAAAAGATAGCACTGTTTAGTATTGCTGAGTGGTAATGAGTATAGGAGGGTAAAGTTCAGATTCTTTGGGGGTAGTTTTCAAGTCCTCTTCTTCCTTAACTTAGTCCTTACCCACCTCTTTGTCTTCTTGTCCTTCTGCATTTGGACTAGCACCTACCCTCCACTGCAGGAGACATAATACTTGTTCGTTCATTGTTCTCAGGACTCTTATTCAAAGGTTCTCTCAAACGCCTCTGCTTTTTGAGGTTTTGGTTTATCATCTCAGTCTTCCATAATCCTTCTGAACTCATATAGTACTTATCGTTACCAAGTTTTTACTTAATTGTTTACCCACAAATTTGCTAACAGATTTTAATGAAATAAGTTTTAGGTTAAATTCTAACACAAGCACAGACTTTAAATATTTATTAATAAGCTAGTGCAAAACAGTTCATACACTTTTGTAGGTATGTGAAAGTGCTAGCTCTTTGTCCTTTTAGGCAAACTGACAGCGCTTTGATGAAAGGTTTATTTCAGGCAGAATTCAACAATTTCTAGCTGTGGAATTTTGTTACCATTGTAATTGACATCAGCTAAACAGAATCCTCTGAGTCTGTGGTTGACACAGGACCATTCAGGGATCAAGCCTTGGGTGTCATTCCTAGGGGTCTGGGCTATAGATTTTGCTAGATTCATATACCCTGTTCATATGAGGAGAAAGGGGGAACCTAAAATATTTTAGCTAATATGCATTTCTTCTACTGTACTGATTTCACCAATGAGTGAATGTATTTTCAGAAACAGGCCACTAATTTCATTATTATATCAGCAGAATGTTGGGAGTTGATAGATAAACACTGAAGCACTTTCAGAGAGGAGAGAATATGTTACACTGCTGATTTTGAAGATGGAGGAAGGGACCATGAGCCCAGATATGCAGGTGGCTTTTAGAAGCTGAAAAATTTGGCAAGGAAACAGGTTCTCCTTTGGAGCTTCCAGGAGGAATGCCAGCTTACCCATACCTTTGATTTTAGCGCAGTGGAACTGATTTCAGACTTCTGACTTTCAGAACTATAATACAATAAGTGCATGTTGTTTTAAGCCACCAAATATGTGGTAATTTGTTATAGCAGCCATAAGAAATTACAGTTTAAAGAGAGATGGGAAGAGATTTTTTTTTTTTCCTCCCTGCTTTTGGAGAAGATCTCACTTTAAACTCCAGGGGAAAGATTGACCTTTCCTTATGTTGATCTCTATTCTTAATTTAAGGAGTGTTTAGAGAATGAGGTGCCCCAGTAAAGTGGTTTTGGCGTAGGGGTATGCAGGGGCCACTCAGTAAATAAGGAGGTAAAGGGTTCATGAAGTGGCAGTTCTGCTCAGATTTTTTTGAGAAAATCACTTCTCTTTGTAAATGCACATGGATGTATTAAAATAATGTACAGTTCTTAGAAGTTGTAAAAATGAAGTATGAAAAAAAAAACTATGAAAATTAACTCATAATAGGCCATTTGGGGAAGTAGGGTTCTCAAAACAGGGTTAAGGAACAGGATTCACTTGTTCTTACTTCAGTGAAGAATTATAAGCACAGACTGGATTAGTTATCTGGCTGTGTAACAAATTACCTTATTAAAAACTGAGTTAAAGCAACAAACGTTTATCATCTCACAGTTTCTGAAGGACAGGCGTCTGCGTGAATTATCTAGGTGCCTCTGGGTCAAGGTCTTTAACAATGCTGTGGTTAAGGTGTTGGCTAGGGCTGTGTTCTGCTCTGAAGGTTTATTTTGGGGTGGATCTTCTTGGAAGATCTCCCTTGAGGTTGTCGATAAGACTTAAGTTACTTGTGAGCTGTTAGGTCGAGGATCTCCGTTGGTTGCTGGCTATATACAGGCTGGAGACCTCTCTTGATTCTTTGCTCCCTGGGGTGCTTTCCACACACAGCATGATGAGACAAAGTGAGCCAGCTCTGAGCCCAAGACAGAAGCCACTTTTTTTTCCTGTAATCTAATATCAGAAGTGACATTCTGTCAATTGCCATATTCTATTAGTTAGAAGCTAGTCACTGACTCCCACCCACACTCAAGGGGAAGGGATTATATAAGAGTGTGAATACCAGGAGGCAGGGATCATTGTAAGCCATTAGTTTTGGCTCTCCCACGCAGCTAGTAACTCTGGTGGCCTGATTTCTGAAGTCATTTTCTTTTTCTGGATTAGTAAATATGAAATTAGCAAGGTTGTTATGAATATTAAATGGGTCATGACATTCAGAAAAAATACAAATCAAGTAGCGAGTGGGCCCGTATCTGATTTTTTTTTAGTAGATACTTCATTTTTCAGAGTTTTAAGTTTTGATGTTTGGAGAATTCATTTTAATACCTTACTTGTGAGAGTTTTAATAGAATCTGACTACAAGAATTTTGAAAATACTAATATTCCTAAGTAATTTATCTTTTATTCAGATGGTTTGTATGGCATCAGATATATCCAAATTGATCATAAGTACTTTTTAAATATAAGTCCCCAAAATAAAGCTTCATAGTTTGAGATAATTCATGGAATTCTAAAAAGCTGCATGAACAGACTGGAAAGAAAAAGTCTCTCTCCAAGCTAAAATTATTTGCTATAGTTATGATTTATATATTTAAGATGTTCTTCAAAGAGGTTTATTCATGTTTGATGTTTACTTGGTTTAATGATGTAAATTGATGTGCTGTCTCCTACCCTCTCTCTCCACGCCTCCCCCATCCCCACCTTTTTTGAGGTTAAAACATTCCTTGGATACGAAAGCTACTCTACTCTTATAGTATGGTATTTAACATCTGAAAAATCATGCAAATAAAGTAATAGAATGGAAAAAATGAAACAGGGTATCTAAGAAAGATGGTATCAGTTTTCTGGTACTGTTAAATATAATTAGGTTATCATAAGGTTGATTATGATCAGAATCATTTTAGGTGATTGAGCTTTGGTTTGGAATGCTAATAGTGTAGCATATTTTTTTTTTCCAATACGAGGCTTGAACTCACACCCCTGAGATCAAGACCTGAGCTGAGATCAAGAGTTGAACGCTTAACCGACTGAGCCATCCACGTGCCTCATATTGTAGCAGTTTTATATTCTGGGTTATCTTATAAACAAATAAGGTGCCAAATATGTTAGGTGGTATATTTTGGAAAAATTACGGTGATTTAAGAAAGAAATCCAACTCTAGCCTCACAAACAACCATTTAATTTCATTTGCTTTGCTTGAAATAATTTGAACTGTAATTCTGTAAGTGGAAATGCATGTTTAAATCTTCTTATTTTTGTCTATGCAATTTTATTTTTATGATAAAATATACAGGCATAACTTTTTTAATTGTACTTCATAGATACTGCACTTTTTACAAGTTGAAGGTTCGTGGTAACCCTGTGTCGAGCAAGTTTTTGGCTCCTTTCTTCCAATAGCATTTGCTCACTTAGTGTCCTTAGGTCACTTGGTTATTCTCACAATATTTCAAACTTTTTTTTTTTAAAGATTTTATTTATTCATTTGAGAGAGAATGAGATAGAGAGAGCATGAGAGGGGGGAGGGTCAGAGGGAGAAGCAGACTCCCCGCCGAGCAGGGAGCCCGATGTGGGACTCGGTCCCGGGACTCCAGAATCATGACCTGAGCCGAAGGCAGTCGCCCAACCAGCTGAGCCACCCAGGCGCCCTCAGACTTTTTTATTATTATATTTGTTATGGTGATCCATGATCAGTGATGTTAGTATTATAGTTGTTTTGGGGTGCCATGAGCTGTGCCCATATAATAAGATGGCAAACTTAATTGATAAGTGTTAATGTGTATTCTGACTGCTCCACCAACCTGCTGTACTCCCATCTCTCCCTGTTTTCAGGCCTTACCTATTCCCTGAGACACAACAATATTGAAATTAGGCCAATAAATAACCCTACAATGGCCTCAAAGTGTTCAAGTGAAAGGGAGAGTTGCACATCTCTCACTTTAAATCACAGGCTGGAAGTGATTAAGGTTAGTGAGGAAGGCATGCCAAAAGTCCAGATAGGCTTCTTGAGCCAAACAGGCAGCCAAATTGTGAGTGCGAGGAAATGTTCTTGAAGGAAATTAAAAGTGCTACTCCAGTGAACACACAGATGGTAAGAAAGCAAAACAGCCTTGCTAGTATGGAGAAAGTTGAAATAGTCTGGATAGTAGATCAAACCAGCCACAACATTCTCTTAAGCCAAAGCCTAACCCAGGGCCCTAACTGCAGTTCTCTAAAGGCTGAAAGAGGTGAGGAAGCTACCAGGGAATAGTTTGAAGCTGGCAGAGGTTGATTCACAAGGTTTAAGGAAAGAAGCTGTCTCCGTAACATAAAAGTACAAGGAAAAACAGCAAGTGCTGGTGTAGAAACTGCAGCAAGATCTAGCGGAGATAATTAATGAAGATCTAGCTAAGATAATCAACAAAAGTGGCTACACTAAATGACAGATTTCCAATGTAGACAAATGGCCTTCTGGAATAAGTTGCTATTTAGGATTTTAATAGGTAGAGCAGGGAAGTCAGTGCCTTAGCTTCAACAGAGGCTGACTCTTCTCAGGGGCTAATGCAGCTGGTGACTAAGTTGAAGCCAGTGCTCATTTACCATTCTGAAAATCCTAGAGCCCTTAAGAATTATGCTAAATGTACTCTGCCTGTGCTCTCCAAATGGAACAGCAAGGCCTAAATGACAGCGTATTTGTTTACAACATGGTTCACTGAATATTGGAAGCCCACTGTTGACACCTATGGCTCAGAAAAAAAGATTCTTTTCAAAATACTGCTGCTCACTGACAATGCACCTGGTCACCCAAAAGCTCTGGTGCAGATGTAGAACAAGATTAATGTTGTTTTCATGCCTGCTATCACAACATTCATTCCTCAGCCCATGAATCAAGGAGTAATTTTGAATTTTAAGTCTTATTATTAAGAAATACATTTTGTAAGTCTATAGCTGACATACATACTGATTCTTGGATGTATCTGGGCAAAGTAAATTGAAAACCTTCTGGAAAGGATTCACCATTCTAGATGCCCTTAAGAATATTCATGATTCATAGGATGAGGGCAAAATATTAATATGAAGAGGAGTTTAGAAGTTGATGCCAGCCTCATGGATGACTTTGAAGGGTTCACGACTTCAGTGGAGGAGACAACTGCAGATGTGGTGGAAACAGCAAGAGAACTAGAATTAGAAGTGGAGCCTGAAGATGGGACTACATTGCTGCAATCTCATGATCAAACTTGAACAGATGAGGAGTTGCTTATTATGGATAGCAAAGAAAGTGGGTTCTTGAGATGAAGTCCACTAGTGAAGATGTTGTAAAGATTGTTGAAATGAAAACAAAAGATTTAGAATATTCCATAAACTTAGTTGCTAAAGCAGTGGCAGGGTTTGAGAGGATTAAGTCTGATTTTCAAAGAAGTTCTCTTGTGAGTAAAATGCAGTCAAACAGCATCACATGTTACAGAGAAATTGTTTAGGAAAGAAAGAGTCAGTGGATGGGGTAAACTTCATTGTCCTATTTTAGGGAATTGCTACAGCCACCCCAGCCTTCACAACCACCAATCTGATCAGTCAGCCTACATCAACATTGAGGCAAGATGCCAGCAAAAAGGTTATACAACTCATTGAAAGCTCAGATGATGGTTAGCATTTCTTAGCAATAAAATATTTTTGAATTAAGGTGTATATGTTGTTTTTTTTTAGTAATAACTTTTATGCACTGGGAAACCAGAAAATTAATTTTGATTTCCTTCATTGTGATACATGATTGTGGTGGTCTGAAACCAAACCTGCAGTATCTCTGAGGTATACCTGTATACAATTTTGTAATAAGCTGAGGAAAGGAGAGATATGTTTATTTAATAGTCAGAGTCCTTCTTATTCCTTTGAATTAGGGGGTATGTATTCTTGAATCATTCCATGACAATACTTTTGTATTCTCAATCTCTTCTACCACTTTCCAGTCCCTTCCCCTCTCAGAAAGTTAGAGTGTTACTCAGTTGCCTAATGGCTGGGGGGGTGGGGGGGGGTGGGGGAGAGACAAAACAAAACATTTCTGTTATTGTTAGATCCAGATTATTCTCTTAACTGTGTTTTACCTTTTCTCAGCACACTCCTAGTGTCATTCATGAGTCACTGGTTTGGGGAATTCTCTGACAATCTGAACACTAGTTAATCTGTACTTAGAAACTTAAGGTGGTATCATATTGTGAGAATGAAATTTGATTATTGATTTATTGTGAAAAGTGTATTCTTTAGTACTTAACAGTTGACTTCATTTAGTAATGTTAATCTCTTAACAGTTTTAAAGTTTGACTATACTTTGGAGGATCACAGGTTATTTCACAACCTTAAGTCTCAAGCTATTTCTGACTTCCACTTTTAGGTCATATATGTTTGCGTTTTGTGGAAATGAGTTTAGTAAAGCTATCTTAGGTCAAATAGAGTTTTCCCCAGATGAATTGCTTATTTAGGCTTATTTGCCTTTTAGGTTACTTATTGCACTAAATTTAGGCAATTTTAGACACCGCATAAAAATTCACTAAAGTTAAAACACGGATAATAGTTGACATAATTTTGGGATTGGTTGAAGAGTGCTTTTACAAGTGGCAATACAAATGCCACTTAGTACAAATGCCACCTAAAAAGTTTTTGTTACTGGCTGTAATTGTGTAGATTTAAGTGTGAAGTGATACTTGAAATCTGGAAACTTTTTAAGGTTCAGCTCCTGTGCTATTCTGTTTGCAATATACTTACAGGTAAGTACCAGAGATTCATTTAATAAACTTTCCTGTGTGACTTATCTTTGATGGTTATAGATTTTATAAATGGCACCTTATGATTTCTTTCATTAACAGAATTCTGCTTGGTCAGAGTCGTGATGGCATTGTATTCAGCACTGATGACTATTTTCACCATCAAGATGGGTACAGGTATAATGTTAATCAACTTGGTGATGCCCATGACTGGAACCAGAACAGAGGTTTGTTTTGGGCCAAGTCTCCGGGATGGAATATTTGACTAGGAGTCAGAAGACTTGAGTTTTTATTCTCAACTTGACTTTTACCGGCTGTAAATTGTAAATAGTGTACCCATATAAGCTGGTAAAATAGAGGTGTGGGATATTTTGATATCCTTTATTTTATACTCATGAATAAATTCAGACAACTCTTCACTATTGTATATTCTCAAAAGGTATTTCCCTAAGAGTAATGCTAATGTTTTCTAAGGCTAGAAATAAAATGCCTGTGAATATTAAAGTTTTTCCCATTGACATTACTCTACAAAAAAATCTACATAATGCATTTTTTAGGCCTATATCTCTCAATTTTTTCTCATTCTGGAATTGACTGCACATTTGAATCACCTGGGGACCTTTTAAAAAAAAACTTATGCCTGGGGGCGCCTGGGTGGCTCAGTCGTTAAGCATCTGCCTTCTGCTCAGGTCATGATCCCAGGGTTCTGGGATCGAGCCCTGCATTGGGCTCCCTGCTCGGCGGGAAGCCTGCTTCTCCCTCTCCCACTCCCCCTGCTTGTGTTCCTGCTCTAGCTGTCTCTCTCTCTCTGTCAAATAAATAAAATCTTAAAAAATTTTAAAAATAAAATAAAAAGTGAAAAAACTTATGCCTGAATCTTAGCCCCAGAGATTCTGGTTTAGTTAGTCTGGAGTGGATCTAAACACCAGTATTTTGGGGGGAAGTTACCCAGATATTCTAATGTTGCAATAAGGATTGAAAACTTTTGATCTAGAACTAAGTAAGTTCTTTTTTAAAAGACGAAGAATGTATTAATGATTAAACAAATTGTTTGTATTGTGAAAAAATTTGAATCTAACTTAAGTTACAATGAACCCCATACCTCCAATCACTCAGAATTATTATCAGTTATCAAGATTTTGCCTTATTGGCTTTTATCTTTTTTGTTTTAACACTCCCTCCTTTTTTTATTTGCTAAGGTTTTTAAAGCAAATTTTAGACATCAGATAGCATGCATTTCAAATTAACCTTTTTTTTACTTAATGGCATCTTATTTAATTGCAGTGCCATCATCACACCTAAAAAAACACAAAAAAACAAACAATTCCTTGACATCATGTAATACCCAGCCTGTAATGAAATTTCCCATTGTCTTACATATTTCTTTACAGTTGTTCTTTTTGAATCAGGATACAAGCCAGGTCCTGGCAGTACATTTAGTTTTATGTTTCTTTTAAGGAGATTAATCTCTTTCCTCTTTTTATCCCCTCTTTTTGCCTTTATAACATTAATTTGTTGCAGAAGTTGGTTGGTTATCCTATAGAATGTCCCATATTTTGTGGTTGTTCGCTTCCTTGTGGTAACTATTTAACCTGTTTTTCTTTCTCCTGTATTTCCTTAAATAGAAGTTAGTTCTAGACAGGAGGATTTATTAGGTTCAACTTATTTTTTTGGTAAGCATATTTCTGGTTATCCCAGTTTTAGTGATATTAAGATTGATTAATAGCTTCAAAGGGACAGCCTACTCCTTCCATTATCAAGTTCCCTATCAATCTTATGTCTAATGGTTTTATCCAACAGTGAATTGTTTCCTGAATGAGACTTTTCATTAAAGGTTGCAAAATGGTGATTTTCTAGGTCTAACATTCCTTCCATGCTAGAATTCTTCTGTAATGAAGAACTTTCACCTAGAAATAGCAATTAGGGTTGTCCTAAATTTAGTACAGTATATACAGGAAAAACAGGATGAATGCTTTTCTTTTTAATTGTCAATTTTCACAGGAATTACAGTGAGGATATTTTGGAGTAAAAAGTTTAATGTGAAATAAGTTTGATTATAAGATTGTTTCCTAGTATTGGTTTTCCACAGAACATTATGCCACGGAACATTACTGCGTAAATCAAGTAATGATGGTATTGCAATTCCAAAAAATGTTTAGAGTTATTGGACTAAAGTTAAGGAAAATAGTAGTAGGTGATGAGTGGAATGAATAAAGGCAGTGGGCAGAGACAGTATACCTTTGGTGGACTGAAATTTGTTTTATGGGACATTTTTTTCTCTTTGCAATACCAGCCTAGAATATTACAATAAATGTTTATGCTATGTGAGTTATACTTGCTGAATAAAAAATGGTGTTTAGATAAACTGCTGATTTTATTATCAGTATAGCATAAATTTTTCCAAGGTAATGATAACTAGTGATTATTGAACATTTTGAAAATTATAAGCATGACTTACTTAGGACTAAATTTCTCTTTTTAGTAGATGTTTATTGAACACTTTTAAAAATGCCAGTTACCATTCTGGGAATCTCTGTATGCTTCATGTGTATTATTAGAAGAATCTTAAATTCATGTTAGACCACCTATAAATTAAAAACCTCTTTGAGTGTCATTCTGTTTCTTAGAGTATGGTGGTTATTTTGTTTAAGAAATGACTCTCGTTATTAGGGTATTCAAACATTATTTACTTAGGAACTCTTTCCTCCTGGAATACACTGGAATGTGGTATCGCATGATGATTTTTCATGGAAAGAGGATAATCTCCCCATTCCTGCAAATCAGAGATTTAATTTGATTCTTAAGCTTCTCCTTGGAGGTGCCAGCCTAACCATTAGACATTAAGAGGATTAGTAAGTTTTTTTTTTTAATGAAAGATTTGATCAGTTTATGATTGGGGATAGAGCAACATAAGATGATAGCATCTTGATATCCTATTTATGACCCAAATTCTAAATTTCTTTTGGTATTTAGAGATATTTTCTCCCAAATATGTATTCCACCATAGTCATTATTACTTAACTAACCTTTAGAATACTGTCTGCCCTTAGACATCTGTATAAGTGTTTTCATTATGTAGAACTTAGTGTTTTGAATTCTAAGTCCCAACAAAACTTCTATATCATTGCCTTTTGCCTCAGCCTTTTAAATTTTATTGTAGGTTCTTAATTATGTTTCTTGTCTATTTACACTTAGGGGTACACACACTCCTGTTGTTAACAGTGGCTCATTGTGGCAGGGATTCTTGGGGAAGAGATGGCAAAGGGATAGGAAGATGTAGTTTAGAAAATTTCCATGTGATCCCAGCTCCTAATTTGAGAATTCTGGTCTTAAAAAGTACTTACAAAGTCAGTTGAACTGTAGTACTTAGCTACTTGGTATATAAGTTTTTTATTTCAGAAGCATTATTTGTAATTGTAAAACTTTGGAAAATACAGATAAGCATAGATTGCTGATATTCCCGTTACCCTCAGATGACCACTTTTGATATTTAGTAACTCTTCCTGGATCTCTATATTTTGACCAAAATAAGGTCATACTTACATATTGTGTTATAATTTGCCATATTCAGTTAACAGTCTTCATCTTTCCATGTCAGTAAAGGCTCATCTCTTTTCATACTCAGACTGTATCCTAAGTAACTTGTTCATATATTTCCTATAAATCAAAGTTAGCTAGAGACTGAAAGCTTTCTTAGTTGGGAGTTCAACAAAATGTTTTTCCCCAAATGTCATTGTTAAAACCAGTATCTGGTCCAGAGAATATACATTGCCTGTGGTTATGTCTCTTAATTCCCTTTTAATCTAGTGGAGTCTTTTTTTTTTTTTTTGTTCACCGCACTAACTCAGGAAATTGCATAGTTTCAGTTTTAAGTACAGAGATGTAGAAATTTTCTTAATAATGAATGTGTAAGTTTTATTTTGTATATTTTAATCTAATAGTTCTCTGGTTTTTGTTTTTTAAATTTATTTTTTTATTTCAGCAAAACAAGCTATCAATCAGGGGAGATCTCCAGTTATAATAGACAACACTAATACACAAGCTTGGGAAATGAAACCATATGTGGAAATGGTAAATACGTGATATGAGAGAGTTTTAATATTTTATTCTTAACTCATTTTTTCATACTCTGAAATTTTGGTTACTTTGATCTTCATTACATAAACATTTGTCCCTGTTTTCTAAAGAGGTGTGTTCGTTAACTTAGTTTTTAAAAAACTGGGATTGGTACTTACTAAGAAATATGCTCATCTTGTTAGTTTTGCCTGGACTTGAAGACAGTAATTCGAAATTGTCCGGTTATGTGGTCTTAACATTTTTGTGGACATATTATTTAAAAGTAAAATGTTTCTTGGTCAAACAAATTTAGAAGTATTGTCTAAATGAAACTTCTATTTATCTGCCTTCTTTTTTACTTTAAGAAGTATTCTCTGGGTTTTTGTTTTCTTCCTTTCCTTTGTGTAGGCCATAGGAAAAGGATACAGAGTAGAGTTTCATGAACCTGAAACTTGGTGGAAATTTGATCCTGAAGAATTAGAAAAGTAAGGCACTCAAATTTTTTTTGAATCCTTATCTTTGAAAAATTTTTTTGAGTCTTTATCTTTTTTTCTTTCTCTTCTCCTTTACACAGTTTCTTTACTATTTACTAACTTTTGCTTGTCATGTTTGCTGTTTGTGAATAGGGACTACTACTCAACTTTCTGTCAAGAGGAACATTGACTTAAATTTAAGGGTTCTTAGGGTACCTTGCCTTGGTCAGTTTTATTAAATTTTCCTTGTTAAGTGTGTGTGTTATTTTTTCATATGTAAATTCCTACATTGTTTTGTGTTCATTGAACGCTAGTGGAAATCCAGAACACTTTGGAAAAGTTAGAACTTTTCCTTCTGGTTTTCAGCAGACCACTTACCTGCATTGCCCTTCAAACTTTTCTTCCCATTACCTTTTTACCTGGGGCTTTCATCGTCTTTCTCTTTTCCATCTTTACTACTACAGATTCATAATCTGTAGATTCATAATCCAAAATCCTTGTAATCAGTGTGTTTTAGAATTCAGGGTTTGTTTTTGTTTGTTTGTTTTTTTAATAGAAAGGTAATATGGTACATATACAGAGTCATAATACCCCTAGCCGAGTTTGGGGCAGCATGTCATAATCACACATCTTATTTTTTCTGTGGCAAATCACTACTAGTCCTCTAATTAGATAAGAAAGATTCTACATAATCTAATGTTCATTCTGAGTAAACTATTAGATTAAAATATACATTGTGCTGCCAAATGAGTATAGGTTTGGTTAGATTTTGCTGCCATATGAATCAATGAATTTTCAGACCATTTTTAGATTTCAAAATTTGTGGTGAGAGATTATGGACTTTTATTACTTTCAGCCCTGGCTTTCGATTTGTGTTTACCTTTGTCCCTTTCCCCTCATGTCACTGGTTTTCCTGACTCTTTTTCTTTGTTTTTATTCTCCCTCTCTGCTTTTCCTAACAACTTTGAAATGTAATTCACATACCTTACATTTTATGCATTAAAAGTTTACAATTTATGGTTTTCAGTGCAGTTGCCTTGGAAATCCATAGATAATGGATTTTTGAGTCCATTTTTGATGATGACTTTTGATTCCCCCCAAATCTTAACCACTAATAGCCTACTGTTGACCAGAAGCCTTACTGATAACATAAACAGTTGATTAATACCTATTTTGTATGTTACCTGTATTATATACCATATTCTTACAATCAAGTAAGTTAGAGAAAAGAAATTGTTATTAGGAAAATCATAAGGAAGAGAAAGTACATTTACAGTACTATGCTATATTTACTTTTTTAATTTAAATTAAATCAATTAACATACAGTGTTTTATTAGGTTTCAGAGGTAGAGTTTAGTGATTCATCAGTTGCATATAATACCCAGTGCTCATTACACCAAGTGCCCTCCTAGGTCCACTTACATGTGGCTTTTTTACTGGACTATATTTGTTGAAAAAAGCCACATGTAAGTGGACCTGCCACAGTTTGAACCTATCTTGTTCAAGGGTCAACTGTACATGCACAGAGTTGTGCAGCCATAACTTTCTTTTTTTATTTATTTTTTTATTTATTTTTTTTTTAATTTTTTTTTTTTTTTAAGATTTTATTTATTTGCGAGAGAGAGAATGAGAGACAGAGAGCATGAGAGGGAGGAGGGTTAGAGGGAGAAGCAGACTCCCTGCCGAGCAGGGAGCCCGATGTGAGACTTGATCCTGGGACTCCGGGATCATGACCTGAGCCGAAGGCAGTTGCTTAACCAACTGAGCCACCCAGGCGCCCAACTTCCTTTTTTTAAAAAACCAGTTTTTTTTCCCCCACCTCAGCTTGCCCTCTTTCAGCTTAAATGTTATTCTGTGTATGATGTTCAACTAATTTTTTTTCCCCTTTTATTCATTTTTTCCCTTTCTGATTTGCACACCATGTGTTCATATGTGAGTAAAATGGATAGATTTATTAATAACTAGTATTATTCATCTGCTTGTGTGTGTATAATACACCTCAGGTAGACGAGCTGTTTGGGTTATGCAGAATAAATGAATTGGTGAAATACAGTTAGGCTTCATTAACACTGAGGAACTGTTGAAATTTATTAGAATTCTTAATATAATTGACTTCACACAATAAAGTCAGTTTAACTGATATGTAGATTAGTTTGACAGATTTTTTTTTTGTAAATTGATGGAATTACCAATTTTGACATCTTGTGGATTTAGTCATATCTTGCCAGTTTCAACTTCAGATCCCTCTTCTTTTTTCTTTTTTTGTCTTCTAGTCCTTTTGCTTTTTTCTTCTCATCTTGAACATAAACATCTATAGTTTAATGTTTCCTTTGTGTGTCTTTTCTGGGAAAAATTAATTAGCATTAGTAAATCTAGAACTATAACATTAAATGTAAAATATGTTCCTATGTGTTTTGCCATGTCCAAGTCAAGTTATAGAAAACTACAAGGGTAAAATAAATTGTAAAACGTTTTTTGAGGGTCAAGAATAATTTTTAAACCACTTTTTGTTGTCATAATTAAACTCACAGAAAATTACATAAAATATAAATACACCGCTTAACAAATTTCTTGTAAAGGCAAATATTCATTTAACCATTACCCATGTTATAAGAACGTTATCAACACCTCAGAAGTTATTTGAATTCCTTTTCCCAGTAAGAATTCCCTGGTAATTACTTTCTTCTCTTTAATGTGTCTTTTTTTCTTTCTTTTTTTTTAATGTGTGTTTTTTTCTAAAACATATTTTGCCTAACACCATAGTTTAATTTTTTTTCAAACTTTATGTAAATAAAGTACAGTATGTGTTCATTGTGTCTAGTTTCTGTCACTCAACATTGTGAAATATGTCCAAGTTGTTACATCTCTAATAATAATTTGGTATTGATAATAAATTTTAAAAATGCAAAACGAAGTGTCCTAAAATAACTTTGAAAAATGATATTTTATATTGATTTTTATAATCCTAAAAGTCCACTCAGTTCCTCTGTAATTCCCAAAACACTGTCTCATAATCTTTGATTTTGTTATTGAAAGAGGGGGGAAGATTAACTCCATGGTTCAATGAATTGGTAGTTTTATGTGAGGAAGATTTTATCAGTTAACATTTTGCTGTGATTTATGGTATCTTTAAACCTTTTTAAAATATTGTTAAAATTTTTGAGAGCCAGTATAAATTTTTTTTGTCTAAAATGTGGGTGAATGAGATGTATCTTTTAGTATTTATTTGTAAAATATAATTTAGAATCTGTACTCTGTTACTCTAAAACAGTTTAATCTCTAAGCCTATACATTCTAAAGAATTAAAATCCTTTTCTTTTTTGGTAGGAGGAATAAACATGGTGTATCTCGAAAGAAGATTGCTCAGATGTTGGATCGTTACGAATATGAAATGTCCATCTCTATTGTAATGAATTCAGTGGAACCGTCACACAAAAGCACACAAAGACCTCCTCCTTCACAGGGGAGACAGAGGTGGGGAGGCTCTCTAGGCTCACATAATCAAGTCTCTGTTACAAATAATCATTAAACTGGCTGTTTTCAGCTAACACATTTGTTGCTTGCCCTTGAAAAAAATTAGTGAGCCTATCTTGAAGTTTAAATAGTTTCAAATTTAAAAAAAAGACTATGTTGCCTCACAAAGGATGTTCCCAGCAAGTTGTCTAAATCCTAAAGTGTAAATAAAAATTATATAAAATTGTTTTTTAAATGTTTTTATAATTTTTGTTGTTAATCCCTTGGGTTATTATGAAAACACCTTAGTAGAGTTGGGTAGGACTAGAATAGTTTTTCTACAACTGAATTTTAAACTAATTGTATCTGTTTTGTAGATAATATTGGGTAGTTTTATAGCTCATACCTAAATCTAACTTTTCATAAAATACTAGTATTTTTTCTTAACTACCTTAAATATATAAGAAATACTTGATATAGGCACCTCTGTTGATTTTTCTATTCATTATACAGGTAAAATTATGTTTCTGCAAATTCATCTATATGACAAAAATATTTCTAAGCTATAATTAGCATATCACTTAAATTCTCCATCAAATGCTATATAGCAGTAGGTGTATCAACCACCTGGGTGGTTTTCTCCATAATATACATTTTCATAATATATAGTATATCCATATTCATCACCCTTCTCAAACCATCCCCCTATCCCTCCACACTCTCCGGTTCTGGAATGGATAAATAGGGAAATCACTGTATACTTAGAAAAAGCTTTTCAGGTTATTCTGATAATATATCACTTCACTTTATTTAACATTGTATAATTCTAATATAAAAAAATATTTTGGACAGGTCCTTAGCATTAATTGTAAGATTTTTCTTGCAGGATATTTTATTTCTCCTGGTTTCAGTTTTTTTGTAGACCAACTATATGTCTCATTGGATAGTTTTCTTTATTAGATTGTGTTTTGTCACTTAAAATTTAGAAACTGAGATGGAATTCATTTCTGAGATTTTGTAATTCATCCTCATCTTTGATTTGCTCTTTTTAAGGAAGAAACCCTAGCTAGTTATTTGCTATTAAAAAAAAATGTTATGATCCTTCAGATGTTTTACATGGTAATATTTCATGGCCCATTTACTTCCTCCTAACCCAGCCCATCCTAAATCTAGTAATTTTTCTTCATATGTTGTTTAAATCTTTTGCTGTTCTTTTCAACCTTACTTTAAATGTTCTCCCACATCTATATATTACTTTTCAAGTAATACTAAGTGCAAGTCTCAAAACTAAATACAGTACTCTGAACAAGGTCTATCACATTGCTTTTAGTGAGATAAGAATATGATTTCTATTTATTTGTACTATTCACTGCTGTTTACATTTGAATGGGTATTACTTTGCTTTATTTTGTTTAACATGTGTGTTTGTATGTATTCATCTTAACTAAATATGATACAGTAAATATGCTAACTCATGTTTTGTGTGTAAATGTATATATATTTATACATATACACATTTTCTTCATCCACTATTTTCATGTATTCTTTTGTTTCAGAGTAATACTTCTTGGTATTTAGGCTTGTGTTTTTCTAGTATTTTATTATGTACATTAGCACATTTTGAAAATAGTACAGAAGGATTTAATTTGGGGACAGATGAGACAACTGTCAGATGTATACTGTGTGTTCCTTTCCCTCTGTCTTTATAAAACTGTTAGGAGTAATAGTGTTATGAATCTATAGTTTTTGATTAATAGATGCTTAATTAGCCAAATTTATTTTAAGGAAGTAGAGAATTGCCTTTGAAAGATACATATTATAAAGAAATATGTTCATGTTAGTAAGTCTGAAGTAAATTTCCAGATTTTATTATGGACCAACTTCATCTTTTAGTACTTCTGAGTACTTAAATAATCATGCAGAGATCATTAATCATTGCTGATTTTTTTTTGGTATAAATCCATACTAGGCAGGGAAATTAACATTCTGAAAAGGTTTGAAGGTTGTTTTTTTTTAAAGACAGAAAATTAATAGTTCCTCTAAGCATATTAAATTAATATGGTTCCCCATTAGCATTCTGGTTAATTTTTTTATTTTTTGAACAATAACAAGCATGAATATGCAATGAAAGATACCAGAATCACTGTTACAAGTCATTGCTTTGGTTTTAAGTCTATAAAAATCTTTAAAAATCAAAAAATTTACTGATTAAAGATATTTCTCAAAATTTTTCTTGTATTCAGATCTTGTTTTTTTATGCCCCCAGTTATATTCTTAATGGAATAGCCCCCAGTTCCTATGCCCCATTTTAAGTTGATCTCCATCCCAAACAATAAACGTGGGGCATTAGTCATCATATTTAACTAAGATAAAATACATTTAGTTAAGTAGAATGCAGCTTAACCTAAGTTGTTTTTTCATAGGCTTGGTATAAAAACCACTTCCTTTTTGATAAGCAAATTTATAGTTTTCTGTATGTCATAATCCTGCTAGCAAAAATACTTAATGTGGTAATTAAGTTGAACTAATGGTACTGCTTTTTAAATAGATAATCTTTATTTTCAGTATTCACCTTTTCAAAAGAAAATTAACTTTTTAATATTTTATGTCTGTTTTAAAGTAAGATTGTTTATAAAAGATTGGGTTGTATTTTGTTGGAGCAGTAGGGTGGATTTAAGTATTTGAAGTTTGGTTATTTCTTGTCTAATATAGACTCTCGAATTTTCTAGTCTTATGTATAGATAAGTTTTGAAAGAGTTCATGATTTCAAAGGATATGAAATCTTTATTTTGACCACATTCGAGTTTTTGTTATTGCAGAAATATCTGATTTTCTGAGCCTGGTTTTATAAGTATTTATAAAGAAAATTGGTGGTGTTCTCTTTGGAAAATATTGAAGAAATGTGGTTGTTTATATATTAGTGCCTTGATCGTATAGGTTTGCTAGTCTTTATTGAAATTTTATGTAGTATTCTAACATGAATGCAGTAACTGAGAATTTGTTCTTAGGGCCTAAGATTTGTGTGTGTGTGTGTGTGTGATTGTTTTAACATTTGCAACTCATTAAATAGAGTAAACACCTTAGTCTAGAATCATAACAAAGCATGGTTTAGTTTTGTTATAATGACCATTCAGAATAAATATTTGGTGGTAGCAGAAAAAGAAGATTGAGTTAATGGTTTCAGAGTTAAGTTTTATAGGTTACAATTTATAAATAAAATTTTTTTCTATTAAAATTGTTAGATGTAATTCTTGTGAATTTACAGAGGAAGGAGAGATTGTGTTAAAGTAATGAATATCTCCCTTTTGATGGTTTTCTTTCTCTTTATTAAGATTGGCATACCAATTTTTATTTTATTTTTAAGATTAAGGTCTTATTAAAATAATTGGTCTCCTTTTATGTCCTTAAAATGTCCTTAGGATGGTAAAAGGTACTGTTTAGTTTGTTCAATGACATAAGTTCTGAAAGAGGAGTAGTGATTTTCTTTTGCATCTTTCTGATTCCTTTTTTCATATTTAAAACAACATGTAAATTAACTCAGTTGATTCAAATTGCTAAGTGTCTTAAGTCTAAAAAATGTTCACTTTTTGCATGGTTTGTAAATTGCAAACCTTGAAAATTTATAATGTTTGCAGTTAGGTTCAGAAAACTTGTAATAGATTGGTTATCATTTACATTCAATATCTTTATTTACATTTGCATTACACTAGAAGGCATAAGTTTTATAATAGAATATACAATTGTGAGCTTAATTTTTAATATATCTTCTGTGGAAATTCTTAACACATTGTCACTGTCAAATTGTGCACAGAAACAAGGGGAAACACTAGCACAAATAACTTTTTGAAGAGAGAGCCTCAAGCTAAGGCTGTGTCTGTTGGAAAATTTTTACTTTGGGTGCATTTAATAAAAGTTTATTTTAGTAATTTAGATTAGAAATAATCTTTCTCCTTTTTCCTAACAAATTTTGTTCTCTGAATGATAGCCATGTTGCGTTCCAGGTGTGATAATTGTGGTAATCATGTATTATAATACACTTCCCAGTATAGGACCCATTAACTTCAGGAAGCTGTCTTAAATTTAAGTATGAATAAAATAGATTCTTTTATTTAGCATGGACACAGTTACAGTTTGTCTCCTAATCTTAGAACAAGACAAAATCACATTAACAAGCATTATCCCTACTTTGGTGAGTAACTGAAGACTTCATCTGGGAGTGTCTTCCAGTTGTAAAAAATGTATTTTTAATTGAATTTTTTGTAAATTATTGGGAAGACGGAGAGATTTTTAAGGTGACCTAGGGTTTTTTTGCCTTTAAACTTATTAGTAACTAAGGGAAAAAAAGAGTAATGTGTTCATTCATGGTTCAAATTGTGTTCAAATTCAGTAGAGTCCATTGAAATACACTTTATTTTGATTATTTTCTTGTTTTGCAGTTTTAACTGCATTCTCGGGTAGGACATATAAAATCAAGGTTTTACCCTTGAGGTTAGTTCATCTACAACTGTTAATTACAGTTGTACAACTCTGTAGTGTGTCTTCAATTATAATCCTGAACTCTTAAGTTTTTATAGTATAAAGAAATGAAATTTGATTTTGGGAAGGGATTGTGGGTTCTTCCTCTGCCTTTATTATTTTTTCTTTCTTAATAGTATTATAAATCATGTTTCTTGTTTCTTTCATAATCTTTTCCTGTACATATTTTTTTTCTTCTGTCCATTTTCTGCTCAGCCATCCTTGTGTAACTGCATAACGTTTTTAATGAAGATGGTGGGATGGTAAGTGGCTGACAAAAATGGAGGTAACTCTTTCCCTCCTGTTTCAGTGAACTCATTGTTCCTTAGGAACCTTATATAATTAACCATGTTATATTTACAGACCAGCAGCTTTGCGGTTGGTTTCCTAACCCTGCCATTTAGTTAGAACTTAGATATGAAAATGCTTGGAAAGATTTATAAAAGTCTAACAATGTGTTACTCATTAGTTAAGAATCCCATAAACATGGCATAGTACTTGGATGTATGAATTCAAGAAAAATTTATTTTATAATACTTAAGTGTCATGATGATAGACTTGTTGGTAAGTAGTAGTTGGGAATTCAGTATTGTAGAATTCACTGTTACGTCATGATTCTCCAGTCCACCCTTATTAAAGAACGGAGTGATTTTGAAGGAAAGCTGATAGCTTGTTTTGAGTTCAATCTCTACAAGTGCTTCATATTGTGCAGTGCTGCTACAATGAGGAATAAGAATTTAATAGCAACAGCCTTAATATAATAATGTTCATTTAAGTAGCTGCCATTTATTTAATGCCTGTCAGTGCCAGGCTCTCTTGTAATTGTGATTGTTAACAGGCTCCAAGTTTTCATAACAGTTCTACAAGGGTTTTATAAAGAAGAAACAAGAACTTAACAGAGGTTAAGCAAAGTTCTCCAACATAATTTCTCTGGGGAGAGTTGTAACTGGGATCCAACTCTAGGTCAGACATATTCCTCACTATAGCCCATTTTATCTTTTAGACATAGTCATCTTTTTAAAAATTACTACCAATATAACATTTTTTTTTTTTTAAGGTAGGAAAGAAATGCCAGTGAAGAGTTGAGTGCATCTTTAATGGTACCTTTGTTTTGTTTTGTTTTTCTTTTTTTTTCCAATTTAAATTCAATTAATATATAATGTATTATTGGTTTCTGAGGTAGAGGTCAGTGATACATCAGTCTTAATTGTACCTTTGAATTTGTAGGGTTGAAGGTGTGTTAATTTATCAATGAAATTGAAGAAACCTGTAAGTGGCCATTTATTTAGAGTCCTATTTTTAAAAGTCAAGACAAAGTAGAGATACCATTTAGTATTTAATGTTTTCTACAAAATATATATTGATATAATTGGTAATCATATTTCAGCAACATCTTTTCAATTGAACTTTTACATCTGTTGTGCTTTAATGTTTAAAAATTTATTTTAATTAGCTTTTGAAATGTGTAGTATTCAATAAATGGATTGTTAAATTATGTAAGCTGTTTGTTTTGCTGATTTTGAGGCAATATTTCCCAGAATAGATCAGCACTGTTGTGTAAGTGGTCTTTATTTTTTCTTTCAATGTTCACATATTCCTTAAGTGTGCTATAGTAGTAGGTGTTATGGAAATTTGATACATCAGTTTTCTGAATTTCTGAAGAATTAAGCATTTCTTTCTTTTATAATAGCATCTTTTCTTCTGTGTTTAATTTTCTAAAATTAAAGAACAATAAAAGAGCCAGTTACTTAAGTTCACTATATAAATAATATATTGAGTAAGATTCTACAAGGAAAACCTTTAAGTACAGAATGAAGAATTATTGTTGAGTATTTGCTTTACTTTGTTTTAGTTAACCTAAAAAATAGGACTGGATCTTGTTTGGTTTTTCTTAATCCCTAGAGTAGATTGTGATTCTTTTTTTTTTTTTTTTAACTGTTTCTAAATGTGAAATCAGAATAGAAGAGAAATAGCATTAGTTTCATCAGTAGTTTAAAATAGTTTTCAGTTCAGGACCTAGAAAACAGCACATTACCAAATTGAGGTTGTTGGAATATAGTACAGTGTAACACTGGCAAAGATGTGGTTAAAACATTTTAATTCAAATATAAGTAAATTCAAGTATGTACAGGAAATGTGTTAGGAGGCTTGGCCTGGGCTAGAGATTTTGAATTAATTTAAAATTAATGAGGGAAAAAGCCTATTTTTTAAAATATTCTGGGAAAAGGGTGCCTGGGTGGCTCAGTTGTTGGGCGTCTGCCTTCGGCTCACGTCATAATGTCAGGGTCCTGGGATTGAGCCCTACATTGGGCTCCCTGCTCCTCGGGAGGCCTGCTTCTCCCTCTCTCACTCACCCTGCTTGTGTTTCTCTTTCGCTGTGTCTCTCTCTGTCAAATAAATAAAATCTTAAAAAAAAAAAAAAATTCTGGGGAATGATAGGGAAGAAATTGTTAAGGCTAGAAGGATAGTGGTCAAAAGTGGTATTTCTCCCTCCCTATATCTTACCTTTGCTTTTCAAAAACCAGTAGAAGCCCAAGTTATTCAAAAAGATTATCTTGTATCCTAAGTGCCATAAAACAGGGTCTTCCTGGTCACCCTTGGTCACTACTAGGCCTTTGGATCTTTGTCCTTTAAAAAGAGTCAATAAAATGTTGAATGGTAGACATAGTCTTCTCCCTAAAACAGTCAACAACCCTTTGATATTAAGGACACAATTGATCTAAGGAGAGCAACTTTATAAGGTAGTTTGTAATTTAGGAGACATGGAGATGGAGTGTGAATTACTTGTCATATCTAATACCATCAGAGCCTTTTATTTCAGATTTTGAACCAGTAGTCTTTAGATTCATGATTTAGGATCAAGAAATTCAATCCTAGAATATAGACAACTAAAGCAACCTTCAGGCTTTTGATTATCCATTTCTTTTAGGGTCATTTAAAGATTATTCTCTTGCTTTTTGCTTTAAAGTTTCGCAGAATTCTCAAAAAAATCTGAGAAAAATACTTTGGGTATTTATCCTAAAGTGGTGATTTTTCAGAGCCCTTCTTCCAAAGAACTGTGATCAGTTCAGAGAGAGATCAAGTGCTTGATCTCTTTTCATTTTGAACACATTTATCTTTATTCAGCAGAAAGAATACCTGGTACTGATAGACATCTTCATATAATTATTTTTTATTTCAAAAATAATATATATTGAGTTACTATTTGCCTTCTTTAGGCTAAGTAACCTCAATTTAACTTTTCTTCAGTTCTACTTTTCAGCATATTCATGACATAATTTTAGTGGAAAGAACACATTATTTTAAGAGTCAGGCAATCTGAGTTCCACTTCCATTTGTATCCATTCTCCTATTTCAGTAGAGAGGGTAGCCCTCCTCCAATCTAAACACATTCACCTGTGTTCTGGATTGCATCTCTTACTGCTTTCTCAGGAATCTTTTCATGTCGCCAGTTATTCCTTCTCTCTCTAACTTCAGTCTTGCTTTCTTAGTCTTTCTTTCCTTAGTCTGTCCACATTCAGACACGATCAAGCCTCCCTCTTTCTCTCTTTTTTTTTTTTTTTTTTTTTTAAGATTTTATTTATTTGAGAAACAGAGCATGATGGGGGGAGTGTGCAGAGGGAGAGGGAGAAGCAGACTCCACGTTGAGCAGGGAGCCTGATGCGGGTGCTCTATCCCAGGTCCCTGGGATCATGACCAGAGCTGAAGGCAGATGCTTAACGACTGAGCCACCCAGGCATCCCCATTAAAGCCCCCCCTTCTTGACACCACTCCTTTACAGCCAGACTAAAGAACTGTGACTTTTGTCATTTTCCCCTCAACTGTTTGTGATACTATCTACCCACTCCATTTTAGCTTCTGACTCTGTCATTCTAAATAGATCTTAAGGTCTCCAAATGTTCCTCTGTATTGATGAGCTTTTTTCAGTCTTCATATGACTACCCAGTAAGCGTTTGACTCTTGATCACTTTTTTCCTTAAAATATTTTTCCTTGATAAGGTTTTTGTTCATATCTCTGTGAGTACTTCTTGGTCTCATTTGCTGCCTTCTCTTCCTCTTGGTCTTTGCTTTTTAAAATTACTTAAGGTTTAGTTCTAGACCATCTTCTGTTTTTTGTTGTTTTTTTTTTAATTTATTCATTTGACAGAAAGAGACACAGCAAGAGAAGGAACACAAGCAGGGGGAGTGGGAGAGGGAGAAGCAGGCCTCCCGCAGAGCGGGAAGCCCAATGCGGGGCTCCATCCCAGGACCCTGCGACCACGACCCGAGCCGAAGGCAGACGCTCAACGACTGAGCCACCCAGGCACCCCCCGTCTTCTGTTCTTAATTTTAGCTTTCCCCGTGAGATTTCATCATTTCTCACTTGGACGTGGTAGTCTCCCTACTTTTCTTTGCCACCCTATAATTTTATTCACAGAGCAACTAATCTATAAAAAAAAATTTTTTTAATGTAAATTACATCACTCCCCACTTAAACTCTACTTCTTCCCTGTCCCTGACTTGCACAACTCTGCCCCCTTCCCTTACTACATTCCATCTATACTGGTCTTTTTGTTTGTTCTTCAAACATGCTAAGCTTAATTTTGCTTTAAGCACTAGCTCTTTTCCTAGAATGCTGTCCTTTTCTTCTCTGCCTAGTATTGTTTGAACATTCAGGTCTCACCTCAAATTCACCTTTGCAAAGAGGGCTTCCTGATTATTTCAATATTAAGTAAAATAGACCTATCCCTGTCACTCAATACGTTGTCGCATTTTGTTTTCATCATAGTACTTATTAGTGGTTGAGGTTGTTTATTTGATACTGATTCGTCGGGGGTCTGCCTGAACAAGAATATACGTCCCATGAGAATTTGTTTCTTTGTTTGAGCTGTATCCACAGAATCTAAACCAGTGCCTGTAATATGGTAGGAGCTCATTAAATATTGGCTGAAGGATTTGGTACCCCACTGCCTCTGTTATTAATAGTATTGATCCCCAAGTGTAGTTTCTACTTAGACTTGGTGTTTGAGCTTCAACCTTTTTATTTATCTGCCTACCTAATGTTTTTACTTTTAAGCCTGGAAAATTGAACAGCGACCTTCTCTCCCATCTCTGGATTTCTAGGATTTCCTTACGTAGTGAATGGATCTACCATTCATTTCTGCAAGCCAGAAACTTGGGAGTCTTCTTTGATACCTCCTTTCCCCCTTCATACTCAATCCACCAACCAGGGCCTGTGGATTTTGCCACTCACATATCTCTTGAATGTATCCATTTTTGATTGCCATCTCTCTAGTTTGAATTATCTCTGAGACTTGAGTCCCCACATCAGTTCTTGTTTTGTTTTAATCCTTTGCACAGTCTAACCAGACTGAAGTATAATGGACATACGGAAAAGTACTTAAATTTTAAGTGTATAGCTCCAGATTTTCAGAAAGTGATCATATCCATGTAACCAGAGCTCTGCTCAAGAAATAGAACATTACCAGCACTCTCCTTCTAGAGTGATCCTTATAAAATGAAAATATAATCATGTGTAAAACTTTTCAGGTGATTCCCATTACTGTTAGGCTAAAGACCAGAAACCATACAATGATAATGAAGACCCTGGTTGATGTGATCCCTACCTTCCTATCCAGGCTCATGTTTTATTACTGTTCTTACTTTCTGTATTCCAGCCCCACTGGCTACCTCTCAGTTCCTTGACTGTGCTGTTGAGTTTCCCTTCCTGGAAAGTTCTATGTGTACACACCCCTTCCATACTCATCCTTCAGATTTCAGCTCTTCAAAGAAGCCTTTTTGGACAAAGCAGGCTTGGCGAGGTCCAAAATACATGGTATAAGTTCTCATGTACTTTTTATTTGTTAATTTGTATGATTATATGATTGTTTCCCCTCATTTTTAAGTCAGAGATTTTGAGTCAGACATTGTATCTGTTTAGCTCACCATTTCATACATGGTCATCAGCTAGCACAGTGGCTAGGAAAGAGTGATATTCAGTATTTTATACAAGTAAAGTGAATATGAGTATTCTCAGCCAGTTGTGGGCTGAGTTGTGTTGCCTCAAAGTTCATATGTTGAAGTCCAGTACTTAGAATATGACTATTCTGGGATACAGGACCCTTAAAGGTAATTAAGATAAAATGAGATCATGTGGTTGGGCCCAAATCAAATATGACTGGTGTCCTTATAAGAAGTGATAAGGATAGACACACATAAATGGGAGACATTGTGAAGACCCAAGAGAAAGACTGCTATCTAAAAGCCAAGGAGAGAGACGTTTGAAGAAATCAATCCTGCTGAAACCTTGATCCTGGACTTCTAACCTCCAGAATTGTGAGGAACTTAATTTCTGTAGTTTAAGCCACCCAATCTGTGGTACTTGTAGATTTGGCAAACTAACATAGATTTTGATACTGGGAAGTGGGATGCTGCTCTAATAAATACCTAGAAATACTGAAGTGACTTTGGGACTGGGTGTGGTAGAGATTTGAAGAATTTTGAGGTGCATGTTAGAAAAAGCCAAGGTTGCCTCAGGAGATTGTGAGTAGATAAGTGGACATTGAAGGTAATTTTCTGGTAAGGGCTGTGAAAGGAAAGATGGTTTCTGTTGTCTTGGAGAGAGATACATATGATCACAGACAGTCTTTGTAGAAATGAGAAAGATGCTTTGGTGAAGCCTGAGATGTAAATGTTACTGGAGAATGAACAAAAGGTGATCTTGTTAGAATGTGGCAAAGAACTGGCTAAATTGTATTCCTGTGTTTTGTAGAAAATACAACTTGTGTAATGAACTTGAATATTTAGCTGAGAGTTTTTTTTTTTTTTAAGATTTTATTTATTTATTTGACAGAGACACAGCGAGAGAGGGAACACAAGCAAGGGGAGTCGCAGAGGGAGAGGGAGAAGCAGGCCTCCCGAGGAGCAGGGAGCCTGATGCGGGGCTCCATCCCAGGACTCTGGGATCATGACCTGAGCTGAAGGCAGACGCCCAACCATCTGAGCCACCCAGGCGCCCCTTAGCTGAGAGTTCTAAGCAAAGTGTTAAGATCCACAGCTTCATTTGTCCTTGCTTATAGTAAAATGCAAGAGGAGAGAGAAATTGAGGAAGGAATTGCTAAGCAAAAAGGAACCAAACTTGAAGATGTGGAAAATTCTCACCCTATGCTTGTGAAAAGTTAGAAGGTATGTGTTCTGGAGATAACATCAAGGTTGTTACTAGACAACTATTTGCTAAAGAGATTACGGGCATGTGATTTAGGCATCCATTAAGCCGCCTCAGCAGAAATAGAGATGGCATTATGCTAGCCGAAACCCTAACAGCTTGGACTTAAAGGGACAAAACAGGATGAACTGAAGGGAGGCCCTCAGATTTTGGGGATTCCATAGGACAAGTCAGTAGAGCCAGCTGGCTGTGATCATGTGTTGTCCTTCAGGAACAGGATGGCCCTGAAGAAGGTTAAGAAGCTGGCAGGGCTGCCACTCGCCACCATGGGATCTACCACACCCGTGGGCCTGGAAGGTAGGGCCTCCACCCAGAGGACAGAGCGTGGAGCCAAAGAGGGATTATTCTTTAGCCTTAAAATCTAATGCAGTTTGCCTTGTTAGTTTTTGAATTGTGTGTGACCCATTACCCCTTTCTTCTGATTTTCCTTTTTGGAATGAGAATGTCTACTTCTGCCTGTCCCACCATTGTATTTTGAAAGCAGGTAACTTACCTAGATTCACAGTTCACAGTTGAAGAGGAATTTTGCCTCAGGATGAATCCTAACTCAAGTCCACCCATACCTGATTTAAATGATATTTAGATGAGGTTGACTTAAGAGTTGATGCTGGAATGAGTTAAGACTTTAGGAACTGTTGGAATGCAGTGAATGTGTTTTGCTTATGAGAAGGACATGAATTATGGGGACCAGGAAGTAGAGTGTTACAGACTGAATTATGTTCCCTCAAAATTTATATGCTGAAATCCTAGCCCCTAGTACCTCAGAATGTAACTGTTTTGGAAGATAGAGCTTTTAAAGAGGTAGTTCAGATAAAATAAGGTCATATGGATGGGCTCTTAATTTAATATCTGGTATCCTTATAAAAAGATGGTATTAGGACACACACACACAAAAGGAAGACCATATGAAGACATTGGAAGAAGACAGCCATCTATCAGCCAAGGCGAGAGGCCTTAGAAGAAACC